AATGTATTATTGATCATTTTAATGGTATAGTGTTGGTAATTTTATAGTAAGAATATATTACTGGCAATTTTGTTTTATATAAAACTGTATTGCTGGTATTTTTACTATAAGAACCTCTTTTTATACTTTCATGCATATTTGACCCCAGTTTGGGAGTTAGATATTTGCCGATAGCTGGTTAACAGGTCCACCCCAGGTCAGGGAGGATCTGGCAACAACTAACGTGTGCTTCCCCTCTTTTCAATGCCTCCAATCTCACAATCAGAGCGATTGCTGCCGGGTGTAGTTTATTGTCATAACCAGGAATAAAGTTGAATGACAAACATGGAACCTGAATAGAGTTCAAAATCGAGAAATGCGAGGAAAGAGGCTGTTAGTGGAGAAATTACGGTTGCATCTAGCCAACTGCAAAATGATGAGACCTTACCGCCAATCCAGTACTGCGCTTAAATTAATTAAATCCAGGTATCATAAAAAAAAAGTTCACCAGAACAATTGCCATGAAATTATTTATAAAAATCTCACAGGTAAGCTAGATTACGGTAGCCGAAAAGTGACTGTGACTGAAGGCGAGATGCCAGGGTTGGACCAATAACATGACAGATTGTTCATTTGATTTTATCATTACTCTCTAAATAAAACGAAGGACGACAGAGCAGAAAATCGATTCATCGAGTTTGTATAAATCGGTAGCAGAACATAAGGTGATAGTAGAGGGAAATTGCTTAGCTACAAAGGATAGGAAGTTGTGGGGAGCCACGAACTTTAACGTCTTGAGGATACATCGTACTCAAATAAAGGATTCATCATGTCTCTCTTTGTCATTTGATAAATGATTAAGTTAGATAAATGGCTACCCCTTAATTCCTGTTTGGGCTTCTCACATAACGACAGTAGAGCAACGATCTGTTAATTACGTTAGAAAGCAGTACGAATGTGATGAAATTGATGCCGTAATTCCCCATGTATAATACACCTTCATCCATAATACGCACCCTTAAAATTGTGCTGAAAGTGTGGGTAAATGCTTCTACTCACGCATAATACGCACCCCTTTTTTGATAATCAAACCTTGTAAATTGTACCTCTCCAATTATTACGGCCAGTGTTTTCTACTTTTATTAAAGCTGTAATTGACGATATTTATCAAAATTGCCGATCTTCACGATTGTAAAAGGAAACGGAAATACCTATATTGTGCCTACTGCGCAGACGCATTAACCTGTTTTTGTTCGATAAAATGTGCAATCTATTGGATCTGTATATGTAGTTATATATATATATATATATATATATATATATATATATATATATATATATATATATATATATATATAACTCGAGTCGTGCTTAAAGAGCAGGCAGAATAAGAGTTGGCCTGAGAAATATTTAACAAAGAATAAAATGAAAAAAAGAACAACGAAATCAGTTCAATGAAATTTATTGGTTTTGATCATAAGGCAATTTTTGTGCAGTTGTTCTGAGTAGTCATTTTACAACTGAAATCGACCTATGAAACGACAATTTTTTAAAGAATTTTTGTAGTTTTGTATAATACGTACCCCTAATTTTGCTTATTATTTCTTTAGAAAAAAATGAGTAGTATTCATGGGGAATTAAGATACATGGCGAAGAAAAACCGCAATTAAAATTACTTCTCAGAAATTCGAATAGGATAATTTTGAGATTTAAAAAAACGAGACAAGACAATCCATGTAGAACTTCTTCAATAAAACAACAACTTTTATTAAATATGCTAAAAGAAATAATCTCCAAGATCGTAATTTAAGATGCGAGAATTCTAAGTCAGTGCGTTTCGTTACTGTAAATTATTTAAAAAAAAAAATCTATGAAAAAACATTTAAAAGATTCCAGCCAACTCATTTGTTCCAACCACCCTGTTGATTCGAAAGACCTATATTGATGTCGGACAGCTGTCTTGTCCTCGTTTTCTAGTTTCGATAGAGTTGAAAGTCCTTGTGGGAGACGAATTATTTCCCGCTGTCCAACATGTCTTTCACAGGCGGGACATTGCGAGACACTGACTGTTCTCTCGCTACTTCCGTGGAAAGTGCTCGGACGAACTATATTCCCTGGTTCCACCAGGTTTAACCTTCACGGGGAGGACCTGCCATGCCACTTACATTGTAGCAAACCCCACCCACATTCTCTCAGTATTTCATCGGCCAGTAGTCAGTTTCACTCGAACAGCTTTTTGACGTGAATTACTGCTCTGTGGAACAGATTCCATAGAGAATGTTTCTCTTATCACTACAATCTTAATCTGTTCAAATCTAGAATCAAGGGTTATCTTCCTCTCCTATCCATATAAACTATCCCTTAACGTAACGCTCTCCCTCGACTTCCTTGTATAGGGCGAACCTTACTGTAAAAAAAAACTATTTTAAATTCCCTTGCATACCAAACCAACCGCTAGTTTGCGCTTTTCTCATTTACCTTAGAACAGGCTTAACTTGTCCGTATCAACTTAGCTCATGGTTAGGTCTAATCGATGATGACCATGCATTCTGTCTTCCCGGAGCCCAATTAACTTAGGCCAGGCTTAACTTATCACCTCAGCTCATGGGTAGGTCTAATTGAAATCAGCGGACAAGAATTTAAATGTGTACTCCTAGATTTTATTCTTTCGTCATGTCGAGCCGCTTCGAATGCTGAAGAGGCAACTCCAGGAAATTCCTAGAATTATATTCCAAATCATCTTTTAAATACCGTTGCTCAATGGTAGAGACAATAAAGTTGAACTCTTTGAAGCTTCCGCCATTCTAAACAATGTCGTTATTGTTTTATTTGGAAAACCAGACAATGTATTATTTCTTCTGTAACAGTAAGTTTTTTTTTATGTATACTGTAATTAATATTTGTTATATAAGAAAAACTACGTTAAAATTACTTTAAAATATATGCATAAATTTCACTGTTTTTCTATTCGAATTTTCTGATGAATCTTAATTCTTCAAAGTTAATAAATTCATAGTTCCGCCGGTTCTGTCTTGCAATACTTAGCCCAACATTTGGAATATGTCCTTGGCCTTCCCAATACGTCTACAGTTCTCAGTATCGCATTTATCGTTCTCTGTCTAAAAGCTCCCCAGATATTTAAACTTCCGCACCTGCTTGATTTTAGTGTTCCCGCATTTCGAGCTCATCCTTTTATTGTTGCCCATGAATTTTGTCTTTTTGTAGTTCATGCTTAGTCCTTTCTTCTCACTCTCCATCGCTACCTTCTGTACGAGATTTTGTAATTTCTTTTCCGTGTCTGCTATCAGTACTGTGTCATCTGCGCATCTTATGTTGTTAAGATTGTGGCCACCAATGATAAATCCCAGAAGAACAGATGTCACGTAACAGCTCACTATTGTCTTCTTTGTTACCAAAGAAGTCCTCTTGTCTCACGACAGTCTGACCAGCTTTTGGAATGTGTCCTTGGCCATCCCATTACGTCTACGGATCTCAGTGTTGCACTTACCGTCCTCTGTCAAAACGCTTCCCAGATATTTAAACTTCCGCGTCTGCTTGATTCTAGTGTTCACGACCTTCGAATCGCATTTCGGGCTCGTCCCTTTACTAATGACCATGTATTCTGTCTTCTTTTAGCCG